AAACAAAAATAGTTGCAATCGGACGATTTCTTGCAAAGACAAAGTGTTTTAAATATTTTCCAGGCGAACGCAAGACTGGTTTTTTTACTCAACTTTTCAAGATTTTATAGGTAGAAAGAAAAGAAAAATGTGAGTATGTTTAGTCGTTAATAAAAATTTAACATCTTCTAGGGTTACTACGAATATCTAACTTAAGTAATTATTATTTTTTTATTTATTTTAATTTTCGATAGCTTTGCCACTGAGTGTGATCAGGCAAATGTGTTGGCGTTTATTTTTTATTCTTGTATTCTTGATGCTTAACTTGACAACAGAAGATCTCTAGGCCACTGCCTTTTAGTCGTCGTTACGGCTCACCGGGTAACAGAAAGAGATAGAACGAGTGGATTTGGATGATAGAGAGTAGAAGAATGAAATGTTGTGTATGTAGGATTTTACTTTTGGTATGTTCATGTCTGTATGTATGTTGTGATTTGAAATAAATCAGGGAGCATTCACGATTTTACGAAGTATTTTGGATTGTGTGGTTTGTTTAACTCAATTTATTAACACTAAGCGGTTTTATAAAAAATAAAATAAATGTATTGTATTTTATGTAAAACAATAAAACACCATCATTATAAGGTAGTATTAAATTTCTTTTTAATAAAACCTTAACTAATATATTGACGTTATTGAAAAAAAATGAAACATAAAATATTGAGATCAGAAGGTTCGCTGATTTTTTTTTTTTTAAATTATAAATATTAAGATATTCTTTCCTGATCAACGGTTTTATTAGGGAGCTTTGGCTTATATGCCAAAAAATAAAATAAAATAATATCTATAATAGTTTTAGAAAATATAAATTGACTTAGACAACTCGATGTGGCATTTAAGACACACATATATTCAAATTAGACTTGTAGATTCTGTTCCGGTGATTGTAAGAGTGAGGTCAAAAGCCACAAAATAATAATTTAATAGGTATTAAGATTATCAGCAGAACATTAGAGAGAATCTTGAGTATGGTTTATCGTTTGTTGTTATATTTCTTTATATGTTTAATTGGAACATTTTTATGATATTGATAACGAATAAATATTTGAAAAATCTGCACTTCTTTTTTTAACAATACCCGCTCGGTAGGAGTTTATAGGGCTCACTTGAATTTCACACGTAATATATATAAAGTTCATTGTTAATCCCAAAATGCGGCAATTGACAACATAAGTGCTGACTTTGGAGGGTCAGGGGGTTGATTACGATCCAATAAAAATAAAGAGGGTGCGAGAATATCGTTTCCTCCTCCTTCCCTCTAATATTTCCAAGAAAAAAATAATGTCAAAATTAATAACAATTAATCCAAATAAATGAATTAAATAGGTAAACTAAATTCAATAAATAAAATAGGAAAGGTTGATTATACGGCGGTGTGTGTGTGTGTGTCTGTGTGTGTGTGTGTGCCCAGACTATTTCAAAAACGAAACGTCGTTTGAGACTTAAATTTTGTATTTAAGGTTTTCATATACTTGGGATGATATAGCAACATTTTCGTAAAAATCGGCAAACCGGAACACTTTATTACTTTATTACTCGGTGGCACTTTATTATTTTTTTGAACGGCTCTTTAATGACTTCTTTTTCTTTCAGAATAATTACCTTTGCAAAAATAAAATCCCCTCTAAAATTAAATCCTGAATCTGCTACAGCTGTACGCTATACCGTTTAATGTCGAATGATCGTTAAAAATAACAGTTATATAATTATTATTACTATTATCATTCGAAATATACTCTTAAAGTACAATAAGAAGAAATAATTAATTAAATTATATTAGTATTACATAATCAGTTAAAATAAGTATTTTTTTTAATAATGGGCCAACATTAACAACAGCTTATATAACCCCATTCTAAAACTAAATTATTCTGTTGGAATAATTCTTAATAATTATTGGAATAATTATAATAATTTGGAATAATTATTTTAAATTAATGCCAATTCCAACAATGGAAAAATTTTAAGTTGAAAATCATATTTTCTTATAATATACATAATTAATTAAAAATGTAAATTAATATTATACTTCCTAATGAAATTTGATATGAAAACAAAGAATAAGGTATCAAATTAAATTAAACATTGTAGAGAAAAAATAACAGAGTTGTACAAACGGAAAACAACAAAAGCATCATGACCTTCTTATTGTAACAAGATGACAGATAAATCACACACTATTGTTTTTTTCTATGAATGATCAAAGCTAGGGGTTAGGGTGCCCGAGCGGGCTAACGCATGTGCATAATAATACATAATACGCCTGACAACTCGATAAATCCAAGATTACTAGTGCGGTGTCCAACCGACTTATAACCAACATTATTAATCCCCCGCCCTCTCTCCTGGTCCGAGTAAACTACTCGAGCCGAAAGGAGAGAAAGGAGCGCGCCTACATGCCCGCCCTAAAATAAATTTTAAATTACAGAAAAACTACAAGCACCATCACTTTAAGCTCCAATTTTTGTCTATGGTAATTAGTACGTTTGGTTACATCTTGTCAAACATAACGTTTAAAGGCAAGTGTGTAAATAACGTTTATACACTTCCTACGTATTTATAATAATAAAAAATTATTAATTGAGAATTACTTTACTTTTGTCATATTTTTGTTTTATATTCCCATAAAAAGTACTTGAAAATTTGAAAAGATTCATGATAGAAATGAGCCCCATCAACCTGATTGACAGCCAAAAACAAAGATTAAAGAAGAATACAGGATTGATCAGAAAGACCATGGGATGTAACCGAGATGCATCAACAGTTAAAGGAAACAGAAGATATTTAAAGACAAACTTTATATGAATAAAGTAAATAAATAAAATAAAATAAAAACAATTAAAAAAAGTATCAAATTATTTCATAATTTCATTCCGCGAGTAGAAAATCTTAAGTTTGCTGGTCATAAAACTGTTTGGTTGGTTACCTCGAGAAAAGGTTAGGATCAGTTGAAGTTAAGTGGCGAAAGGATCGATTAGGCATGAATAAAACCTCTTTTAAGAGTTCTTCAAACTTTCCCAAACTGCTCGCGAAGATGGATAACATTTTTCTTTTATATTTAATGGCGAAGTTTTTTTCTTCACGTAAGAAATATGCTTCTTATACGTAGTGAGTAAATAATATTAAACAGAGTTTTAGTAATCCCAGGTTTATTTTTCGGGACGAAAACAAAGTTATTTTTAGAAATAAATACTGATAATATAAAATAAATAGCATAAAAATCAAGTAATATGTAGAAACGGAAATTAACAGGAAAGTACTGAAAAGGTACACATGATCTCCGTTGACTCCTAGAATAGCATAGGAATTTATTACAAAAAAAGTCATTAAGTAATACATTAATGAAATTTCTATCTGTGTTTTTAGGTAGTAAGACTATTTTTGTTATACGTATAATATAGTTTCCGTTATTTTTATGGAATGTTGCACCCGTAAATAAGGTCTGAATTCACAACAAATACACTGTTTCTATTTAAAAGTTTAGCACCATCAACATACTAGTGATATAAATTCCACAACGCTACTATTTCTTGCTCTCTGCCAAGTTAAGCCATTTTATTTTCTGTTGATCTGCGCCACTTCTCTCAAGGTGGAACTACCAGGTTTTTATCAAGTGGACAGGACAATTGAGATTTCGTCTAACTCATTTCAAGACGAATAAATGATTCTTCAGGGATAGCGCAAACAGCTCTTAACAGAATCACACTTTTCCATGGCTATATAAACGTAAACATTAGAGGAATGTAATAATGTAGCTACAGTACAGTACTTAGGAATGTACAGGTAACTTACGTGGTTTTTATCGACATCCACTGAACAATCCTCTTATCTCCAACATCTACATACCCGAACCTGACACGAGAGTCTCTGGCTGGTCTTTCAGGTCGGGGAAAGTCTCTCTACAAATCTCAAACTAACTGTTGTTGGTGACCTGGCTGTTTTAGGGCCAACTAAATAAAAACAAACAGCCGTTGACGAACGTTTGAAAACGTCGTATTTTTCAGTCCCTCTTCAGGTTTCATTGATATAGAAGAGGACTGATTTTACATTTATTTTAAACAGTATTAGTTTTGCCTTTTTTGTTATTTTTCGTGATTTCATATAAAATTTAGTTGAAAAAACACACTATTTCCATTTTGATCTCATTTCCAACACCATTCACCATGCCCCATTGCATTCAATCTTGTTGTACTTTAAATCGCGACACTTCCCAAACAAATTTGTTCTCCTTTATTTTCCTTTAAGGAGGTCTCGAAATCGTTAATTCAGCTTTCATCAAGTTTGATCTGAAGTCCAATACAGTTGGTGATTTAGCTTAAACATCTAACTTGTCTGGAGATCACAGAGCTGATGTGGAATTTCTTAAATTTTATTCTTCTTCCATGTTAAATATTTTATTTCGTCTACTCCTTTACGAGTTAGTCGTACTAACTAGACCAATTTGACTGTAATTTATGTGATGTCTGCAACTTCAAATAAAAATTATATAAAAAAGATAATGTAACATTTATCAGACTAATATCGTATTTATTCATTGTTGAATAATTCTGCTTATTCACAGACAAGAAAAAAGAATGAGTTTCACTGTTGAAAAATTATTTAAAATATTATCCACAACGCCATTAATTAACGAAAAACCACCTTTCAGAATGTTCCTAATGAACTAGGTTTTTGATTCGATAGGATTGAATATGTATTACATTATATGTTAATGACGTCCGTGATCCTCATCACAGATTGATAGAAAAAATATTCTAAAAAAAAAATAGGTAACTTTTTCTACATTTTTTTTTCTCGAAAACTATAAATGTTTATGCAGTAGTTAGCACCGTTGTTTACACATACTAAATCATATAAATTAATAATCAAATTAAATAGTAATACTTATTATCCCTACTTATGCTAATGATGAGAGCGTTACTCGGACAATGGTGGCGTACTAGAGATATGGCAGTCAGTGGTGAGCATAGAGGAAGTGAACATGTGGCCCAGCAAGGATGGAAAACAACCCTTCACAGCTTTAATCAAGAAACCTCAGAAACAAGAGATCGAAGGTACAAGTAATAACTATTCAATAATTACCAGCTTTTAGGGACTAACTACCTCGACTTCATACAGTAGAGAAATGATGGAAATTTAAGTCCTCTTGATTCTCAAAAGAAAGTTTATTTTTAAAAGATCTTTTAGCCGATGTTGTTTTCCATTTTTCTTAGAATCTTCCCTCTTAACGTTTATAAGTTTCTTTCGGCACTAGTGTAAGCTCTTTCAATGCTACTGATGCGACGGTTTGGGGCGCAGCATCTGTAGGCGCTTTGCAGATACTGATTCAAAAGAAAATATTTCAACAAATAGACAAAATAAATAAATAACTACTGAATTACTTAAAAATAGTAGAATTTATCGAAAAATAGCCAAGTAGTCGAAATTCGACTATAATTAAAAATTTGACATAGCCATAAATGAATTTTGATGTTAGACACTTTTTATCCAATTATTAACATCCGTCTAAAACTTCGTAAATAGCTTCATCTCATCGTAACCTACAAATATTTTATTTACGGAAATTCTCAGAATTGGAGCGATTTCAATTTGGGAATCGGTAAACTTTGTCCATTTAATTAGGTACAAAAAAACTCGGAAATACCAATCTGCTTTCTGCTTGGATCGTAAGATAATATGATCACAATGTCGAAAAAAGGGTTGTCTACAAAAATAATGGTCCGTTTGGCGTGACCTCTACCCCCAAATTATGGTCAGATGGCCCAATATTTTTGTAAGCCACCTTCTTTTGTTTTTATTTTGTGATCATATTATCATACCATTCAAGCGGAAAGCAAATGAGTATTCATGAGTCTTTAGTACCTAATTAAAAACGCTGCAAATTATTACACAATTGTTTATTATTTCCGAACAATTGTATATCAAAAGTAACATCGCTTTCATTGTAACATAAGAAAAAAATAAATAAAAGGTGATTCATAATATTGCTCTAAACAGTTTTTTATTTCATCATTGATAATTTTCATAGAAAAAAAACACACACTGCTTTACTTGATGTGAAATTATCATGAAATCAAAAACAAAACATACGAAATAAGCATTGCTGTAGAACACATGAAAAATATTTTTTAAAAACATAAGTTGCACCGAATTGCCCGATTTAAAGGATTTTTTTTAAATTTTAGGAAAAACTTTTAAATGACTACAACAAAAAAGTGAATACTTTTTGAGTTATTCGGGAATCTAATTATACCGCGTAACTTTTTTTTCAGCTTCTTTACGTCGAAGTATGTTCGATATACATATATTTAAAGGGCGCCGAGATGAAGTCTTTAGCCAAGTTTCATTGAAATCGGTACATTCGTTTCGGCGCTAGTCTATATCAACACAGGTATTTCAGCCGCCATCTTGAAAGGAAACGGCGGATAGTAATGTCGAGGAAGGAGGATCATCCTCGAGAGGCCTCTGACTTTGATTCCAATTTTGAAAAATATCTGTCCAGTAGTAGTCCCGGAGAACGGCGGACGACGGACGGCGGACAGACAATTTTTTTTTATTCGATTTTCGAGTTCTACGTATTCCAAAACGTAAAACATCAAATTTTGAGGGGGAGTTAAGTTTTTGAATTTTTCGGTCGATTACAATCTTTGAAAATAAAAACCAATATACAAAGTTGGCCAATCTCCAATTGAAATTGCCCCAAATCCAAGAGTTTTCGAAAAATAAAATATTTGTAGGTTAAGATTAGATGAAGCTATTTACGAAGTTTTAGACGGATGTTAATAATTTGATAAAAAGGGTTCCGCGGATCATTATTGAATATTTCAGTAGATACACTTTTATATGTACCTACTTACGATACAAAACAGTTCCTTTTCTGTACTTTTTGATTTACTTGCATATAAAATTCTGAATAGATCACTACTTTTTCAGGAAAGTCTCTTTTCGAGGAAGTATGATATTTACATAAATTAAAAGGACTTTAAGGACTTCTAAGAAGACTTAAGCCAAGTTTCATTAAAATCGTAATTATTGCCACTTTAACGCTTAAGTCTATAGCTTAATATATATATATATATATATATATATATATATATATATATATATATATATATATATATATATATATATAGCTCAATATATAACGCTTTTTCCTTCCCTATTGTTAACTAAAGATCGGATGGTAATGTAATGATTATAAAAAAAACCATTTGAAATCTTTATATCAAAATTTCGATGGAATCAGTGAAGAGTTTTCTGATATTACCGGTTTTTAACAAACGAACATTTACATTTTTACAACTTACCTATATATGTAATATATAGTAAGGGAAAGTATAGAGATCGTGAAAATGCTTAGATCTGAGCTTTCATTGGAAATTCAAATTTGAGGTCCCACGAGTCAAACAACCAAGTCCCACAAAATGGTCGGTGCATGTGTCTGGGAACACTCTCATTCAAAAACAAAAAGTCTTACGGAACTCAAGCCTCGTACGGAACCCCACTTAAGATTGGGATGTTATAGGAACTCTTTTCCTGAAAATCGGCTAACCGGCAATGCCACTTTATATATCGATATTACAATTTTTTCAAAAACAGCTACAACGATTTTGGTAAAATTCATAATAACAGTGAAAAATATGCGGTTTCTTATACAATGGAAGTCTTATTAATTAATGTCCCTTACCAGGGATTAAATGCCTAATTTTAAATTTTTTTGATCGTAAGTATCTTTAATTTTTTTTATCTTTAATTAAGGAAATAATTTAACATTTCACATTGTAAACAGCTATAAAAAATATTTAAATACAATGTATGACAGTACTTAAAAATAATTATGTAAGATGGAACCGAAAAAACACGAACTTGGACGAAAGGTTTGGATAGGCTGCTTAACGTAACACGTGCTTTATAAAATACGGTTCCGACAATATTTTATTTATCAATCCCACTCCTGTCGGACTAAAAATTTTCATGGAATATGTTTATATATTAAAACCAATAAATAATTAAAATATACGGACATAAAAGTAATAGGCTAATAACAAAAAAAAAAAGAAATAAATATAATATATACATGTGAAAAACATATGGTAATTAATTACTTTAAATTAATATTAAAATAATATCAGGCTGGGTGTGCCCCAGGCGGATCTCCCGACGCCATAATCGATCCACGGCTAGTCAAAAATTATTTGTCATCAGCCGGATTCAAACCCACTCCCTTAAAGTTATTTTAATACAGGTAACTGATTATGGGCCTATTCCTTTATCTTTGGCGTTCAATCCTTTCCTTCTCCTCCGATGCATTGAAAACTATTTTCATGTTACACTATTCTTCGTCTCTCTCTCCCTCTCCCTCCTCCCCCTGCCCTCCAATATTTCTTAATTACCTCTGCCTATAAATATAAGAATATCAAATTGTTAAAGGCAAGAGTCCTAAAAGAATACCTATTTTTTTTTTTAAAGGGGAGTTCGGTTGATTCCTTTTAGAATTACAATATAGTTACTAAGGAATATTACATGGTTGCAGATGAATATATATATATTTCTAATATAATCTACTCAAATGGCGGGCCCTGAAAGGAGTCTTTGAAGCCCATGACCGGCAATTAAATTCCCATAAAGTTTCTCATATCGTCCAAACCAGTGAGCAATAGCTTATTAATATTGGGAACTGGTGCAGTAGTTTCTCGCTTTTATAGCCCCACCACGGGATCTATCGTATAAAATAAATATTAATTTATTATTATAACAGTAGTTAACACATAACTATGTCGACTGGATTTATTATGAGCGCCATTAAATGAAAATTAGTTGAATCATCTTCTTAGATAAATTTTTTTTTTAATCTCCTTAACACTCTTTTCACATTGAGTAATTCTGAGGAGTTGCGACAAATATCGAAATATTCAGATATTAGCAAGGATATGACTTCCTGATGTGATACACAAAATACACTACTTCACGGTAGACTTGGGCAACAATTATTTTAAAATTCGTTATTTAAAATAATAACATTATTTATGCAGTATTTAAATTTTGTTCACAAGCTAAACAGTTATAGTTATTATTACTATTTTTTCTTCACTAATATTGTTAATTTCTTTGTCTCAAAGAGAAGCGCGGCATGTGTCAACAGTTATTGCTTTCCAAAGTCAAGCGACAGACCTAGAATTGACCTGCTTCAACAATTGATAGATTTAAGCTGTCATTTTCCAGGAGATGCGAACAGTCCTCCTATACTTTATAACTGCAACATGATTGCCCATAGTGTCCGAGAAAAGATACCTGGTTTTGTACCCTGAGCCGAAAATTAATATCCTCACCGGAAAGGCCCTCATTCGTCCCAAAACTTTATAGTTAGCACATGCTTGGTGCATTATTACTTTTAATAAAAAACCAACTTTCCCCCGGGAATAGTTAAATAATAGCCATCCCCTCCTTTATCATTTCCTGTCTCTTGACCTCCAAGATACCTTACAGACAATTCCAATTTTAGAAGTAAGACATGTAACATTAGTTTAGGCCTCACAAGGCAAGTTTGTAAGAAGTATCAATAACCTTATGTCAATGTAACTTTACATTTTACAATAAAAGTAAATTTCAAAGCCTGTACTGTTATACGCCCTCCGAAGCGTCTGAAAATAAGATATAAGAATAAGAAAATAAGAAGGCCTCGAGATCTCTTATTGTAAATACATTTTGTTTTTAGAGTGCTACCAGTGGGTAGTTTCTCAACAAGTGATTTCATGTTATTACTTTCTGTTATCAAATTTACTAAATGTATTTTATTTATTAATACAGTTGTAAATATCATGAATTAATAAAAAAACTGTTATACTAGTTCGTTGATTCACATAAATTATTTCAAATATTAAAAGTATTTTTTATTTTAATTACAAAATACACATGTCTCATAAAGTGGCACTTAATAACTAATTCCTTAAAAAATAGTTTAAAAAAAATTTATTCTGAAGAGGCATATTTTTTTGTCTTCGATATCCGAAGACAATAATATTCTATCATCGATAGAACCATTTATACTTGATTA